GGTCCATGATGCCAGCTGAGGTTGTCAATACAATGAAACCAAACTGGCGGGACGGAAGCAGATTATTCTGCCATTTTTCTAGATCTTTGAGTTGCACATCAAATCTGGGGCTGATCACACCACACTTGTTTAGCCTGCCTGTGAGGTTCACAACAATTTTCCCAGCTCTGTGATCATCAATGATTTCAAATTCGCCAATGTAACCATGCTTCATCATCACAGTGAGAAACCAGACGATGACTTTGGAGCACGGCCTAATAAGCACCTGGCGTTTGCCTCTCTTTTCGGCATTGTTGGTACTCTTGAGAGCATCAGCCAGGACATTCATGCGCACCATTGTGGCGGCACGGAAAGATGGCGGAAAGAGGACCACTTCTAAATTTCTTTCAGGCCAGACACAGTGGCTCATGCCTGTAATCCCAGAACTTTGGGAGGCCAAGATGGGCGGATCATTTGAGGTTAGGAGTTCGAAACCAGCCTGGTCAACATGGTGAAACCCCGTCTCTACTAAAAATACAAAAATTAGGCTAGGTGCAGTGGCTCACGCCTGTAATCCCAGCACTTTCGGAGGCTGAGGCAGGTGGACCACCTGAGGTCGGGAGTTCAAGACCAGCCTCGTCAACATGGTGATACCCTGTCTCTACTAAAAATACAAAAATAGCTGCGCATGGTTGTGTGTGCCTGTAATCCCAGCTACTCGGGAGGGTGAGACAGAAGAATGGCTTGAACCTGGGAGGAAGAGGTTGCAATGAGCTGAGATCACGCCACTGCACTCCAGCCTGAGCAACAGAGCCAAGAATCCGTATCAGAAAAAAAAAAAAAGAAAATAGCAAGTGTGGCCGTGGATGCCTGTAATCCCGGCTACTTGGGAGGCTGAGGCAGGAAAATCACTTGAGCCTGGAGGTGGAGGTTGCAGTGAGTAGAGATAGCGCCACTGCCCTCCAGCCTGCAAGACAGAGTGAGACTCCATCTAAAAAAAAAAATCTTTCTGCCAAAAGATTCTTTATTCCCTCATTCTTTATCCCACCAGATTGCTTGCAGCTTCTAAAACTGGCAGTTGCTTCTACAAACTCACAAACATCCTTCCTTGCTGCCTGCCTCAAAGGGGCAGTGGTTTTTTACGTTCATTGCTACTTGACTGTTCAAGTTTTGTTACAGTGGCTATGCTATCTCCTGAAACAACCAAGCATAATTTTTGGGGGAGGGGGTGTTATACTATTGCTCATATATTATACATTTTAAAAACTGACCTTTCATGCACTTACAGAGTTCCATTAACTAATGTTAAAACTGATGTCTTTTCTTTAAAAACATGGCATGACCTAATGTGTACCTTATGCCTATGTACAATGGCATAAGATATATTTAGGAGGTTACATTGCAGTATTTTTGAGAGGATGATTTTATTTTTTCTAAGAAAGTGAAACAAATACAAAGTAGTAAGATATAATTTTAAAGAATAGTATTTTATTGAATAAGTTTTATTCACAGAAAAATAAGCTTTAATCTACAATGAGTATCATATTATACAGCAGAAAGCAATTTTCTTAGTTTTCCACACTGATAGAAAGGTTCTTACTAAGTGAAAAAAGCCATAGTTATATTCACAAATATAGTACTCTGTCTCAAAACATTTCACGATTATTCACAATGCTAATACAATGAGATCAGTCATTCAGTCAGGTTTAAAGTATAACAGCAATGAAAAAAATGCAAAATCTAACATAAATTACATTAAAACCTTTGTTACGTCAAATCAAAAATGCAAATGTCTTACCAACTACAGAAAAAATGGTAAAATATATAGTAATTAAAAATATTACACTGATACAGAATAAGTGATAAACTCCAGAAATCTATAGGTGTATCTGCAAATTTCAGACTTCAAACTAGAATCTTACCACTCAAACATTAATGTAGCATTTGTCTAATTTTGTTTTGTTTTTGAGACGGAGCCTCACTATCACCCAGGCTGGTGTGGTGGTGCCAACTTGGCTCACTGCAACCTCTGCCTCCCAGGTTAAGTGATTCTTCTGCCTCAGTCGCTTGAGTAGCTGGGACTACAGGCATGTGCCACCATACCCAGCTATTTTTGTATTTTTGTAGAGACAGGGTTTCACCATGTTGGCCAGGCTGGTCTCAAGCTCCTGACTTCAGGTGATCCACCTGCTTCAGCCTCCCAAAGTGTCAGGATTACAGGCACGAGCCACCACGCCCAACACCATTTGTCTAACTTGAAGTTAACAATTGTCTCTTGCTATCCATGGAGTGTTGGTTCCATGACCCCCTAGGACCTGAGGATGCTTAAGTCCCTTAGATAAAATGACATAAGGCTGGGTGGTAGTGGTTCACGCCTGTAATCCCAGCACTTTGTGAGGCTGCGGCAGGCAGATCAACTGAGATCAGGAGTTTGTGACCAGCCTGGCCAACACAGCAAAACTCGTTACTAAAAAATATAAAAATTAGCCACGTGTGGTGGCGGGCGCTGCTTATAATTCCAGCTATTTGGGTGGCTAGACCTGAGAATCCCTTGAACTCAGGTGGAGGAGGCTACAGTGAGCTAAGGTGGTGCCACTGCACTCCAGCCTGGGTGAGAGATGGAGACTCTGCCTCAAAAAAAAAAAGAAAAAAAAAAAAAAGAGGCCGGGCATGGTTGCTGAGGCCGGGCATGGTTGCTCATGCCTATAATCCCAGCACTTTGGGAGGTGGATCACTTGCGGTCAGGAGTTGGAGACTAGCCTGGCCAACATGGTGAAACCCCAGCTCTACTAAAAATAAAAAAAAAAATTAGTGGGGCATTGTGGAGCATGCCTGTAGTTCCAGCTGCTTGGGAGACAGAGGAAAGAGAATTGCTTGAACTCAAGAGGGGGAGGTTGCAGTGAGATGAGATGGCACCACTGCACTCCACCCTGGCGATGGAGGGAGCCTCCGTCTCAAAAAAAAAAAAAAAAAAAAAAAGTATTAGTATTTGCATATAACGTATGCACATCTTCATCACATTATTTATTTTGAGAGGTCTCGCACTGTCACCCAGGATGGAGTGCAGTGCCATGATCATAGTTCACTGTAGCCTCTGCCTCCCAGACTCAAGTGATCCTCCCACCTCAGCCTCCAGAGTAGCTGGGACTATAGGCACACACCACCATGCCCAGCTAATTTTTGTATTTTTTGTAGAGACAGGGTTTTGCCATTTGTCCAGGCTGGCATCATATACTTTAAATCATGACTAGATTACTTTAATACCTAATACAATGTACTAGGTTGATTAAAAAATAATAGCACTTTTTCACCAACCTTAATGCTATGTAAATAGTTGTTATACTGTTGTTTAACAACAGCATAACAATTTTGGCTTTTTCCTTGTATTATTTTGAATTTTTTAAAATTGTTTTTTCCTCAGTATTTTCAATTCCTCCTTGGTCGAATCCATGGATTCAAAGCCTGCAGATATGAAGGGCAGGCTGTATGTGTATTTATGATTGTCCTATTATATTAGTTATAAAGTGTCATTTAATATGTAGTGAAAGTTATGGTAGAGGCTGGGCGCGGTGGCTCACACCTGTGTAATCCCAGCACTTTGGGAGGCTGAGGCGGGTGGATCACAAGGTCAAGAGATTGAGACCATCCTGGCCAACATGGTGAAACCCCGTCTCTACTAAAAATACAAAAATTAGCTAGGTGTGGTGGCGCACACCTGTAGTCCCAGCTACTCGAGAGGCTGAGGCAGGAGAATCGCTTGAACCCGGGAGGCAGAGGTTGCAGTGAGTCGAGATCACGCCACTGCACTCCAGCCTGGAGACACAGCAAGACTCCATCTAAGAAAAAAAAAGGAGGGGGGGGCTGGGCACAGTGGCTCATTCCTGTAATCCCAGCACTTTGGGAGGCCAAGGTGGGGGGATCACGAGGTCAAGAGATCGAGAACATCCTGGCCAACATGGTGAAACCCCGTCTCTACTAAAAAATACAAAAATTAGCTGGGCATGGTGGCACTTGCCTGTAGTCCCAGCTACTCGGGAGGTTGAGGCAGGAGAATCACTTGAACCCGGGAGGTAGAGGCTGCAGTGAGCCGAGATCACGCCACTGCACTCTCAGCCTGGTGACAGAGTGAGACTCTGTCTCAAAAAAAAAAAAAAAAAGTTATGCTTTAGTGGAAAGAATAAAAGAATAGTTGAAAACAATAAACATTTGAGTTATTTCAAGAAAGGTAGCCTGGTGAAGTTTTTCACCTTCAAACTATGTCCCAGTCAGGGCTCTGCCACTAATTAGCTATAACCTTTGCACAAATTACATCAGCTTTAAGCCTCAGTTGCCTCACCTGTAAAATGAGAGAGAGGAATTGGATACTCTCTCTAAGATCACTTCCAGCTGTCATTCTATTCTATAATTCTGTTATGCTGAGGAAGAAATTAAATTCACATTGTGTTAACTGTGTGAGTCAAGCTGAAAATGATTATTAAAGTGGGAAAAAGCCAATTGTTTCTCTTAGGAAAGCTCAACTAAATTTGAGAGTAACTTTTTTCAAGTTTTAAAAAAGAATTTAAATATTTTTAGGGTTTTGACCTATTTATTTAGAGATAGGGTCTCACCCTGTCACCCAGACTGGAGTACAGTGGCACAAACATAGCTCACTGCTGCCTCAAACTCATGGGCTCAAGTGATCCTCCTGCCTCAGCCTCCAGAGTAGCTGAGACCACAGGCATGTGCCACCATGCCTGGCTAACATTTGTATTGACCTATTTATTTATTGTGATTTATATCTTAACTATGAGAAACACCAAAAAATATGAGTAAGCATCAGTGAAAAGAGTTATCATGTAAGAAGTTTTTCTAAGTTTTAGCCCCAATTTCCAGGTCAAGACAAAGCCACAGAGAGGGAAAAGGATGTTAGGATGGGAGTTCATATTTACAGCAGGAACTTTACAGACATGGTCTCCTTGAGCTCTCGCAACCTTGTAAGATAGGTATTATTCTCCTTTCACAGATGAAGAAATTGCTACCCCTTTTTTAACAAGTAGATTTGGCTAAAAAGAACTATGTCGAATATTCCTTTCCATTTTCTTATTTCTCTAATGGCAATGATATATAACCTATCCCACTTCTCCCACCTCCTTAGCCCCTTTCCCCATTCAACACCTACGTAATCAGGAATTAAAACAGTAATTCGGGTTTAAAGGGTGTATATATGAAACTAATGCTGGGGTGGTAGTCTCCATTCATAGTTCAAAGTACAAATTTCATCCACTACAATGAAAACAGGAAAAACAAGTACTGAAATGTAAATAATATAACAACAAAAATAACAAACTATCATAAGACACAGGGCCAAATCACATTAGATACACTCACTACACCCACTCTACCCTGCCTTAGCCCATAATCAAAGAAACGGGAAAAAACAAATATAGCAGGAAAGGCAATATAAAGTCATTAATTAATAAACTGGCATTTAGTTTGTAAATTCTAAAACCATTTCTCAAGAATTAAGACAATGCTTAAATGAGACAGCTTATCCTGTAAATAAATGTTTTTAAAAAAAGAAAAAAAAAGACAATGCTTTTGATCAGCAGACTAAATTATTACAAATAAAGATAAGTACTTACTACAAAACAACTGGAATCTTTGCATGCCTCAAATGTAAAATTAAGTGGTGACTTGAAATTCTAGAGTGAACTTTATACAGAAAAGGAACGTCTACATGTAGACACTGAGAACTCTTGGGAGGGGGAAAAGATTTGGATATGGTTATAGTTTTGACTTTGCAAATGATCAATTTTTGCAGAATTAGATGGAAAAGATCCAGTGCTTTTTATAGTTCAAACACAGACAAATGCTGGTAAGTCTCCAAAAATTTGATTAGAAGTTGGAGTGCTGAGTGATTTTAAGAACCTGAAGCAACAGCATTTCTAAACAATTCTTAAAATAAACTTGTTAGCCACATCAGCGTTGTGCATTAAATTTCACAACTCATGGAGAGGGGAAAAAAAAGCCTTGCTTAACTCTAAACACACAAGTTTTAGAAGAAGAATTTTAATGAAGTGTGGCTCCCAGAACAGGAAAAGCCTTATGTTAAAACAATTTAGTCCTCGAGTCCTTGGCTAACAACTGGATTGAACTACCTAACTGACTTGGAGCTGAAGTGTCCTGGAAAACATATTTAAAAATTTTTAACACTTTTCTCCCCTTGTAGAACACTTTAAATGTAAACTTAAAGTCTAGACTATACAGATCAAATTCAAGTTAATGACTATATAACCAAACTAGGTGGCAGACAGTGCAAAGGTGAAGAACTGAGGATTTATATACTAAAACAGAAACAGGGTCATCATTATTTAATTTTTAAAACTCTCATTTAAATTTGCAACGTTTTGGCCAGGCATGGTGGCTCAAGCCTATAATCCCAGCACTTTGGGAGGTCAAGGCATACGGATCTCCTGAGGTCAGGAGTTTGAGACCAGCCTGGTGAAACCCTGTCTCTACTAAAAATACAAAAATTAGTCAGGCATGGTGGCGCTCACTTGTAATCCCAGCTACTCAGGAAACTGAGGCAGGAGAATCCCTTGAACCCGGGAGGTGAAGGGTGCAATGAGCCAAGATCACGCCACTGCACTCCAGCCTGGGCAATAGAGCAAAACCCAACCTCAAAAAGAAAAATAAATAAAATAAATTTGCTATGTTTTAAATGAATATCACTTAAAGTAGTAATCAACAGAAGTTAGGAGAACATAATAATACTCTTTCTCTTAGAAAGTACAACAAAAATATAATTTTTTACAGTTTTACTCTCAAACTTTTTTCTGTACTAACATGCCTTACTCACCTCTACAATAGTTTTGTTGCGAGAATCTTGTAATATAAACCCTGGATGTTCTATGAAGCATTTTTAAACTTCTAATTTATACCCTACTGACTCTTATTCAAGTGTTTTTAAAAAACATTTAAACAACTATTCTTCTTTTCTTGCCAATATTTTTATAATTTCCAAGAGATTTTAAGGATCTTGAGAGAACATTTATTTCAGAAGTATCTACTACAATTACTAGTCAGGAAAACAAATGTAGGTAGAGGAAAGACTTAACATTTTGTCCTATATACATCTTAATCATCCTAACGGTAGAAACTCACATGAAACTTTAAGATACAAGATGATATGAGAATCTCAACATAGAAAGCTGTCACTATAACTACAAGCAGTGTACAAACATGCTTCTACTTTTACCTACGTAAGCTGACAGATGTTTAAGATACTGGGTTAACAAAGATCTTTTAGTAAAGTGACTTAGGCAGGCTTAAACTAGCAAGGATTAAGGATGAATCCTTACTAATTAATTGGAAGATCTGAGACATATTTTATATTTCATTTTACAAAATCAGAAATATTTATTTTGAAACAAGATAAGAAGACATGGTCTACCTGTCAAAAAACTACCACTCAGAAATAGTTGTCATCCACAAAGCAGGAAAAACAAAACCATTTACATTTCACATTGGCACCAAAAAGGTTAACTGCCCTGCCTTCTTGGATTAGAAAAACTAAAGCTGAGTGATAAGTAGTTTTGCAGGCGTCTGAACATGCCTAAGCCTTTAAATCAGTAAAATACTTTCTAAAAATTCTGATTACAAAAGTAATACATACTTACAAAAAATTCAAACAGAACAAAATGGAAAAAAAAAAAAAGAAAGGCCCCTATAAAACCCCTCTGGGGTCCCTTCCCCACCCCCCTGAAGAGAAACCACATTTAACAGTCTGGTGTATATCTTTCCAAATCTTTTGTTCTATACATGTAAAAAACATACATACTTTGATTTGGCTCAGACTATACATAGTGTTTTGCCACTTGCATTTTACACTTAATATATCTTTGACATCTTTTCATGTCAGTACATGTTGGCTTGATAGTATTCTATCATTAAATACCCTTTCAAAAATGGCAAATCACTTTAAAAAAATCATTTGCATAAGTACATGCTTATAATGTTAAAATAAAGTGGACAGAATCCTAAAACACAACAACAAACCTCTAAAAATAATCTCTATCTTTCCACCACTGTGGAACAATTTATTCCTTTTTCACATAAAACAAATTATGTGATTGGGGAGATTAACTGTAATCTCCACATTTATATACAGAATGCTCTATTTGTTAAGCCTATCTGAAAAGAATAAAAAATCCAGGTGATTAATTCACTTACACTTAGAAATTAAGTCAGTATACTATGAATACCCATTGTGATCAGTTATAATATGATGCTTCTTAGTCTAGGGTTTAAATTAAATAACAGTAAAAAAATTGGATAAATAATACAGCTAATAACCTAAAAAATCCAGAAATTCAAAGATATTGCCAACTAAAATACTGCCACGTACATTTTTTTTCCTACTTGGTAGCAAATGCTAATGGAATTCAATCCTGATTACTTAAAGTCAGTTCAAATCACACATTCAATCAGGGCAATAACAAGAACATAACACACCTACCATAGAATTAGATTAAGACATAAAAATTTTTTGCTTGAAAGTAATGACTGTGTAGCACATGGGACATTTGTCAACTGCTTCAGCACATTGTTTACAAGTGACTAGATGTCCACAAGGAACAAAAACGATAGCAATATTTCTATCCATACAGATTTTGCAAAGCTTCTCCTCTTGCAGGCGCCTTAGCTGCTCTTCAGTACTAATCTCTGCACAAAGAGAAAAGAATTATGCCAGTTTTAGACCTTTTTAGTTGTTTAAATTCATTGAAAACATTTATCGAACCTCTACTACGTGCCAAGCACCCAACAAGTGCCGGGAGATATGAGGCTGACTCACAAATGGCATCTGCTCTTTAATAGCTCACATGCTAGTGGGAGAGGATGTAAAATGAGGCTTCGGAGGTTAAGCACAAAGTACAAAGTGATAAGTGCTATAATAAAGTTATGTACAAAGTGCACTGGGACAAGATGAGAGAACAAGTTCTTCTGCTCAGGCCAGTTGGAGAAGGTTTTACGGGATGGCAGTGGCTGGGTCAGGGGAGGAGGGAAGTGGAGGTGTGACGTTTAAGTGTGTACAGTAATTTGCCAGGCAGAAAAGCAAGGGTTAGGTAAAAGGAGCAGCATATGGAAAGGTCACAACTAATTCCAGAAATAGAGGGATGGATTTGAAGGACACCTCTGAAGTGAGACAAGTAGGATTTGGTGACTGATTGGATATGAAGGCTGAAGAAGAAAGACAAACTAAAGTTGATTTCAAGACTGTCGGCTTGGCTGACAAGGATATGGTGATGCCACTAGGAAATATAAATGGAGGTAGAAGTTTGGGATCTTCAGATATTTTTGAGTTGTTTTCCGGATACCCATATAAAAATATCCAGTAGCCAATTGAAGAGTTAAATCTTGAGGTCAGGAGAAGTCAGGGCTAGAGAGAGAGACCTGGATGTCATCAGCATATAGGTGGCAATGAAGTACTTGCTTAATTCAGCCTTTCCCAAAATAGGTTTTGTGAAATGTTAATATGCCACAAAAATGTGTTTCATGGTCACATATAACAATAATGACAACAGCAGCAGCAGTTAACAGGAATATAGCATAAACAGTATGTGCTAGGCACTATTCCAGATGCATTACGTATTTTAACCATATCTTTATAATCACAACAATTTATTTAACATCTTTATAATCATTATGTACCAGTGGTTCGCAAATATGGCCTCCCATGAGAATAACCTGGTGCATTTTTAAACAACAGATTTCTGGGCTCCATTCAAAGACTGTAAAATTGGCAGGGCACGGTGGCTCACACCTATAATCCCAGCACTTTGGGAGGCCGAGGCGGGCGGATCATGAGGTCAATAGATCGAGACCATCCTGGTCAACAAGGTGAAACCCCCTCTCTACTAAAAATACAAAAATTAGCTGGGCATGGTGGTGCACGCCTGTAGTCCCAGCTACGCAGGAGGCTGAGGTGGGAGAATTGCATGAACCCAGGAGGCGGAGGTTGCGATGAGCTGAGATCGCGCCATTGCACTCCAGCCTGGGTAACAAGAGCGAAACTCCGTCTCAACAAAAAAAAAAAAAAAAAAAAAAATATATATATATATATATATATTAAAAAAAAAAACAAAAACTGTAAAATTTCTGGGGTTGGGCACACTGGCATTTGAGAACCACTGTCATCCAGGACAGGGCAGTACAGTACAATATAGGACAGTATAGTCTATGTTCCCACTTGGAACTGTACAATGCATTTCCCTTTTTAACTATGGGGTTCCTTTTTCATGGCATCCTTTTAACATCCTGTTGAACACTATTCTGAAAACAGGTTTGGGGAAACAATGGTTTATTCAACAAATATTTACTATACGCTTAACTAGGTTCTAGGCACTAGGGATACAAGTAACAAATACATAAACCTCAGGCCCCCAGTTGTTCATAGACAAGAAAAGAACACAGGCAAACAGGAAATTATAAATGGTATGATGACAAAGATAATTACAATGTGTTATGAAAAGCACAGGGAGGGTGTGTGTATGTGTGTGTGCATGCATGCATAAATGAAGGCCTCCTGGAGGAAATTACATCTAAAACTAGGTCCATAAGAATGAATTAGGAGTTTACTAGGAGAGGGAGGCTGTAGGGTATAAGGGAAGTGGGAGAAGAGTGTTTTAGGCAAAGGGAATGGCATAAGCAAGCTCCAAGGAGAGAGACAGAATGTGGCCTGCAAGTGCACAGGCAAAGCTTGGGCACAGAATTTCAGAAAATAGCATGAGATGAGGCTACAAAAGCACGCCTGATCATGAAACACTAGGCAAGCCATGTAAAGGAGTTTGGACTTGATCCCGAGGGCTCTGGGAGCCAGTGAAGGGTTTTAAACTAGAGACAGATATGATCACATCTATGTTTCAGAAAGGTTTCTGGCTAGAGCGTAGAGGAAAGGATTATTTAATCTCTTTCTTCTTAAAAAGCACCCTCTTGGGCATAATAAAAACTATAAGCTTGGCCGGGTGTGGTGACTCATGCCTATAATCCCAGCACTTTGGGAGGCAGAGGCAGGTGGGTCACCTGAGGTCAGGAGTTCGAGACCAGCCTGGCTAACATGATGAAACCCCGTTTCTACTAAAAATACAAAAAATTAGCTGGGCATGGTGGCAAGTGTAATCCCAGCTACTCAGGAGGCTGAGGCAGGAGAATCGCTTGAACCTGGGAGGTGGAGGTTGCAGTGAGCCAAGATTGTGCCACTGCACTCCAACTTGGGCAGTAAGAGCAAAACTCTGTCTCAAAAAACAAAGAAACAAAAACAAAACAACTATAGGCCCAAACATGGAATGTGTTAGAGATAAGAAGATAAAGCACTTACCCTCAAGAAGGTTGTTCTAATGGGCAGAGCAGAAACCAGTTCCAAAATAGTGTAAAAAACAAAGCTCAACCGGGCGTGGTGGCTCAAGCCTGTAATCCAAGCCCTTTGGGAGGCTGAGGCAGGTGGCTCATTTGAGGTCAAGAGTTTGAGACCAGCCTGGCCAGCGTGGTGAAACCTGGTCTTTACTAAAAATACAAAAAAATTTAGCAGGGTGTGGTGGCACATGCCTGTAACCCCAGCTATTCAGGAGGCTGAGGCAGGAGAATCACTAGAACTCAGGCGGAGGTTGCAGTGAGCTGAGGTCCTGTCACTGCACTCTAGCCTGGGTGACAGAGCAAGACTCTGTCTCAAGGAAAAAAAAAATATCTCTACCAGCACCAGGAGTAGGTAAGAAGGAGCTCCTAATTCTGCTGTGGGTGCAGGAGAAAACTTGAGAGAAGTGACTTCTAAGCTGAGCCTTGAAAGATAAGTTCACAAAGTAGATTCAAGGAGTTGGGGGTAGAGTGGGGAATGGGACTAGATATACAGATACAGAAATTTAAAAAAATAAATAAATAAAATAAAATAAAAAATAGATATACAGATAGAGAAAAGGTACTCAGGGCAGAGGAAAAAATATAAGAAATAGCCAGGTGCAATGGTTCACACCTGTAATCCAGCACTTTGGGAGGCCGAGGCGGGCGGATCATGAGGTCAGGAGTTCAAGACCAGCCTGACCAACATGGTGAAAACCGGTCTCTAGTAAAAATATACAGAATTAGCCAGGTGTGGTGGTGGACGCCTGTAATCCCAGCTACTTGGGAAGCTGAGGCAGGAAAATCCGTTGAACCCAGGAGGCAGAGGTTGCAGTGAGCCGAGATTGTGCCATTGTACTCCAGCCTAGGCAACAGGGAGAGACTCTGACTCAAAAAGGAAAAAAAAGAAATGGTACTATATGCTGATTTATAAGAAAACATCAACACCAAAAAAAGAATGAAGCGTGTATTTCATGCTAAAAAAAATCAAAAGGAGAACAAGTAATTTCCACATTACTTTTAGATGCAATGCTGCAATGAGTTAAAAAACAACACTGGACCAGACCTAGAGTAGTCAAATTTAGAGACAAAAAGTAGAATGGTAGTTGCCAGGGGTTGGGAAGAGAGGAAATGGAGAGCTGTTTAATGAACATGTTTTTGTTATTATTTTATTTTTATTTTCATTTATTTATTTATTTTTGAGAAGGAGTCTCACTCTGTCACCCAGGCTGGAGTGCAGTGGTGCGATCTCGGCTCACTGCAATCTTCGCCTCCCGGGTTCAAGTGATTTTCCTGCCTCTGCCTCCCAAGTACCTGGGACTACAGGTGCCCACCACCACTCCTGGCTAATGTTTTGTATTGTTAGTAGAGATGGGGTTTCATCCTATTAGCCAGTTAGTTGATCTGACCTCGTAATCCGCCCGCCTTGACCTCCCAAAGTGCTGGGATTCTATAATGAGCCACCGCACCCAGCCTATTATTATTATTTTTTAAAGATGGGGTCTTGCTCTGTGTCCCAGGCTGGAGAGCAGTGATGCAATCATAGCTCACTGCAGCCTTGAACTCCTGGTCTTAAGCAACCCTCCTGCCTCAGCCACCCGAGTAGCTGGAACTATGGGTGTATACCACCACGCCTGGCTGTTTAATGAATGTAGAGTTTTGGTTTTGCAAGATGAAGAATTCTAGAGGTTGAGAGTGCAACAATGTAAATGTACTTAACACTACTGAACCATACACTAAAAATGGTTAATATGGTAAATTGTATGCATACTTTATCACAATTTTTTAAAATCTAAAAAAAAAAAAAAAAAAAAAAAAAAAACAAAACCTGAAACAAACCCCAAAACACTGGACCAGAAGTCAAGAAATCTGAATTCTATTTCCAACTATCTCAGTGATCCTAGGCAACAGCCCATTTGTACTTCAGGTTCCTCACTGAGGTCATAAAGTTAGAAAATGATCTTTAAGGCTCCTTTGGTTCTGATTGTTTGTGGTACCATACCATCTCTTTAAATTTTATTTCATCCTTGTATAAAGTCACTAACTTGAGATGGTGATATTCTGGGCATAGATCTTTTCCCTTCAGACTAGTAGTTTACCATTGGCAATTACTTCCCTCTTGGCTTAAAGGTAACTACTGGATTCTACATACTTCCCTACAGCATCTTTCCCCTTCTACTTCCCAAAAAGGCCTTTTCTTTTTTTTTTTTTGAGATGGAGTTTCACTCTTGTTACCCAGGCTGGAGTGCAATGGCATGATCTTGGCTCACTGCAACCTCCGCCTACTGGGTTCAGGCAATTCTCCTGCCTCAACCTCCTGAGTAGCTGGGATTATAGGCACGCGCCACCATGCCCAGTTAATGTTTTGTATTTTTAGTAGAGACGGGGTTTCACCATGTTGACCAGGATGGTCTCGATCTCTTGACCTCGTGATCCGCCCGCCTCGGCCTCCCAAAGTGCTGGGATTACAGGCTTGAGCCACCGCGCCCGGCCAGGCAACATATTTTTAATCTTTTTTCCATGATTAATGTAATGGTATTTCAAAATGCTATTTGGGAAGTAATTAGGTTTAGATGAGGTCATGAAGATGAGACCCCCATGATGGGATTGTGTCCCTAAAAGTAGAGGAAAAGAGACCGGAGTACTTGCTCCATCTTGTCCCACGTACCCCCAATCCATGCCATGTAAGGACACAATGAGAAGGCAGCCATCTGCAAGGCATGAAGAAGGCCCTCACCAATAACCAAATCAGCCAGCACCTTGATTTTGGAGCCTCCAAAACTGTCAGAAATAAGTCTGTTGTTTAACACACCTAGTCTGTGGAATTTTGCTATGGCAGTTTAAGCAGACTAACACACAGCATTAAGCATTAAGGTTAATTTTTAAAAATGTCCTTATCTGCCTGCCCCAGCCTCCCAAAGTGTTGGGATTACAGGCGTGAGCCACCACGCCAGGCCCTTTCTTGCTCTTTAAAACAGCAATGCATACCATTCTGTAATGAAGTCTGACTTGATTCATCTTGTGTACTGCCTTTCTGAGCATTCACTAGATCTGCAACCAGAACCTCAAGTGATTTATAGTTGCTCCCAGATATCTGAATTTTTTCCTCCATTGTTTTCTTAATTTCCTTGAAACTGAACCCCATTCGTATAGCTTCTTGTACCATAGGATTTTGGAAGATGGTATCATCTGAAATAAAAATTGGTGAGGAAAAAAAAAACATAGAATTTAAACAATTATTTTCATTATCACAACTCAATAGCAAATATAGTTAAAAGGAAAAAATTAAGCAGCAAACAAAAGAACAAAAACAAACTAGCAAAGCAAAGCTGCTTTGGAGGATTTTTTGAAATATTCAGGCACTGAAGAATCACTTTCGGAATCTTACAATTAATTGTAAATGCAATGAGTAAGTATTTTGTAGTGTTTTGGATTATTCAAGATTAGGGGCTTTAAAAATCTGAACTTTTTTGAATCTAGCTGTACTCGTTAACAATTAACCCAAAGTACTTAAAGAGTGGATGTTATTACTGAGTCACTAGCAATTATTTAGGAAAAATGGTATGAAATCAGGGAAGTCCTAGTTTATGACCTTGAATGGATCAGTTTCCTACCTCTCAAACTTCATTTCTGTAGCAGAGGGGGTAGGACTAGATAAGGCAAGAAAGTCAATGGAAACTTGTTTTTATGATACTCAAAGTAGAAACACAGCATGTGTAGGGAAGTGCTAAGAGAGGACACTTATACCCTCTGACTCATCAATTACACTCTTGGGTATTAAAAATGAGTGTGTATCTCTGCCAAAGATATGCAGAAGAATATTCATAGTAGTGTTATTTATAATAGCCCCAAACTGGAAACAACTCAAATGTCCATCATCAGGTGAACAGATAAATAAATTGTGGTATATTCAGACACTACACAGCAAGAAAAAAAAAAAAAACTATTGCCACAGACAATATGGATGAATCTCATAGGTATAATGAGTAAAACTTAATCATAATTCATCATTATGCCACGAAAGAGTACCTACTGCATGTGTCCATTTATAAGTACTTCAAAACTAATCTATGGTAATAAACAAAATTAATCTATAGTAATAAAAGCCAGAATATAACTTGGGGGTGAGTACTGATAGGGAAGGAGCATGAAAGAGCTTTTTTGGGTTATGGAAATGTTCTATATCTTGATCTGGGGGATAGTTACACAGATAAATATATATATATATATTTAACATATATGTTTTAATATGTATTTAACATATATATTTTACTTAATATATATTTTAACATATATATGTTAAAATTCATCAAGTAGAAAACTTATGATTAGGGTGCTTTAAGCACTTTACAGTATGTACATTATAGCTCAATAGATGCTTTTCGAAAGAGAGGAGGCCAGGTTCAGTGGCTCACACCTGTAATCCCAGCACTTTGGGAGGCCAAGACAGGGAGATTCCTTCAGGCCAGGAGTTTGAAACCACCCTGGTCAACAAAGCATGACCCTGTTTCTATTAAAAAAATATATATATAAAAAGTAAGGCTGGGCATGGTGGCTCAGGTCTGTAGTCCCAGCACTTTGGGAGGCTAAGCCAGGCAGATCGCTTGAGCCTAGGAGTTCGAGATCAGCCTGGAAAACCCCGTCTCGGCAAAAAATACAAAAATCAGCTGGGTGTGGCAGCACACGCCTGTGGTCCCAGCTACTGGGAAGGCTAAGGTTGGAGGATCCTGTGAGCCTGGGAGGTGAAGGCTGCAGTGAGCTGAGACTGCACCAGCCTTGGCAACTAAGTGGGATGCTATCTAAATAAATAAGTAAATAAATAGAGGAGGCTGGAAGAGATGTAGAGATGTGATTATAAAGAACATGTACAGTAAATAACAAAAGGCATTTTTATGGTAGGAAAGTAACTTAAGATTTGTGTTTTGATAAAGAAAAACTCTGTTGGGAGGTTATAATGCAGACAAAAGACCAATTAGGAGACTACTACAATTGTCCAGATGAAAAATAAGGGCCTGAACTAGAGCAGAATCAGTGGGAAAGTCTGAAGCAACATTAAAAAGGTGGAATCCATCAAATCTGATGATTAATTAAATGTAAAAGGACAGAGAGCAAAGAGCTTAGGAACAACATAAATTACTGGGCAACCTTGTGAACTGTAGTACTATTAACCAATATAGGAGAAAAAAGTGCAGGACTGGATTCAGTCTAAGTGGTTTTTAGAGATGCATTCTATGTGGAAATGTCCAGAGGGCAACTACTAGACATTGCTCCTTCCTGCTTCTCTTATCTTTGACTTGTTTTCTTTCTTTTTTTTTCCAGTTTGTTTTGTTGCTCCTTTACTTCTGCCCACTTAATTAGATGTTGGTGGCTCCCTTTCATTCCCTCATGGACCCTTCTTAAAAATGGTCTTTCCAGATGCTTCCCCTACCAGTACCATCTTACGCTCATTTATACAGGTTTTATTATGCCCCTTCTTCAATGTCCTACAGGTATCTCAAACTCAACTTGCTAAAAACAAAAAGGAAGAACATGGACCCCTACCTGATACCGTATACAAAAATTAACTCAAAATGGATCAAAGACCAGAATGTAAGAGCTAATACCATAAAAATCTTAAAAAACAAAAACAAAAACAAAACATAGGTATAAACCTTGGTGACCCTGAATCAGGCAATGGTTTTTTTTTTTTTTTCAGACAAAGTCTTGCTCTGTCGCCCAGCTGGGGTGTAGTGGTGAGATCCTGGCTCACTGCAACCTCTGCCGCCTGGGTTCAAGCAATTCCCCCTGCCTCAGCCTCCCAAGTAGCTGGGACTACAGGCACACGTCACCACGCTTGGCTAATTTTTTTTTTTTTTTTTTTTAAGTAGAGACAAGGTTTCACCGTGTTGGCCAGGATGGTCTCGATTAGACCTCGTGATCTGCCTGCCTCGGCCTCCCAAAGTGCTGGGATTACAGGCGTGAGACACAGCGCCTGGCCGCAATGGTTTTTTTTTTTTTTTTTTTTTTTGAGACGGAGTTTCACTCATGTTACCCAGGCTGGAGTGCAATGGCGTGATCTTGGCTCACCGCAACCTCCGCCTCCTGGGTTCAGGCAATTCTCCTGCCTCAGCCTCCTGAGTAGCTGGGATTACAGGCACGCACCACCATGCCCAGCTAATTTTTTGTATTTTTAGTAGAGATGGGGTTTCACCATGTTGACCAGGATGGTCTTGATCTCTTGACCTCGTGATCCACCCGCCTCGGCCTCCCAAAGTGCTGGGATTACAGGCTTGAGCCACCGCGCCCGGCCTCGCAATGGTTTCTTAAATGTGACATAAAAAGCATGGGCAAAACCCCAAAAAACAGATAAACTGAATTTCATCAAAATTAAAGACATTTATGCTTCAAAGAACACCAACAAGAAAGTGAAAAAGGTGGCCGGGTGCAGTGACTCATGCCTGTAATCTCAGCACTTTAAGAGGCTGAGGCAGGCAGACTGTTTGAGCCCAAGAGTTCGAGACCAGGCAGGGCAAAAATGGTGAAACCTTGTCTCCTTAAAAAATACAAAAATTCTGGCTGGGTGCCGTGGCTCACACCTGTAATCCCAGCACTTTAGGAGGCCGAGGTGGGCGGATCATGAGGTCAGGAGATCGAGATCATCCTGGCCAACATGGTGAAACCTTGTCTCCACTAAAATCCAAAAAGTAGCTGGGCATGGTGGTGCGTGCCTGTAATCCCAGGTGGTGGTGCACACCTGGAGTCCCAGCCACCCAGAAGGCTGAGGCAGGAGAATCGCTTGAGCCAGGGAGGTTGAGGCCACAGTGAGTATGACTGCGCTACTGCACTTCAGCCCAGGTGACTGAGCAAGACCTTGTCTCAAAAAATAAATTAAGTAAATTAAATTAAAAAATGGGCCGGGTACAGTGGCTCACGCCTGTAATCCCAGCACTTTGGGAGGCCAAGGCACGCAGATCACCTGTGGTGAGGAGTTCAAGACCAGCCTAGCTATGTCAATTGACAAATGTCAACTGACAAATGTCAACTGACAAATGGATAAACAAAATGTCACATTATTTATACAATGGACTCTTTCTACCATAAAAAAGAACTAAATACTCATATATACTACAACATAGATGCACCTTGAAGATACATATCACATGATTCCATTTATATTAAACGTCCTGACTAGGCAAACCTATAGAGACAGAAAGTAGATTACTGGTTGCCTTGGCCTAGGGGCAGGGTGGGCAATGGGGAATGACTGTTGATGGGTGAGTATGGAGTTTCTTGTTGGGGTAATGACAGTGTTCTGCAATTAAAGAGTAGCAATGCCACTCGTTGCATAGAGGGTAGCCCTGCTCTGCAGAAGCAGTCATGGAGCAGAATTTATGTGGTTTTTCTTTTTTGAGACAGAATCTCAGTCCATCACCCAGGCTGGAGTGCAGTGGCACAATCTTGGCTCACTGAAACCTCTGCCTCCCAGGTTCAAGGAATTTTTATGCCTCCTGAGTAGCTGGGACTATAGGTGTGCACCACCATGCCCAAGTAATTTTTCTTTTTGAGGTGTTTTGCTCCTTATTGTCCCGGCTGAAGTGCAATGGCGCAATCTCAGCTCACTGCAACCTCTGCCTCCAGGGTTCAAGCAATTCTCCTGCCTCAGACTCCCGAGTAGCTGGGATTACAGGGGCATGCCACCACACTCAGCTAGTTTTGTATTTTTAGTAGAGACGGGGTTTTACCATGTTAGCTAGGCTGGTCTTGAACTCCTGACCTGAGGTGATCTGCGCACCTCGACCTCCGAAAGTGCTGGGATTACAGGCATGAACCACTGCGCCCAGCAATTTTTGTATTTTTAGTAGAAATGGGCTTTTGGCCGGGCGCGGTGGCTCAAGCCTGTAATCCCAGCACTTTGGGAGGCCGAGGCGGGTGGATCACGAGGTCAAGAGATCGAGACCATCCTGGTCAACATGGTGAAACCCAGTCTCTACTAAAAATACAAAAAAATTAGCTGGGCATGGTGGTGCGTGTCTGTAATCCCAGCTACTCAGGAGGCTGAGGCAGGAGAATTGCCTGAACCCAGGAGGCGGCGGTCGCGGTGAGCCGAGATCGCGCCATTGCACTCCAGCCTGGGTAACAAGAGCGAAACTCCGTCCCAAAAAAAAAAAAAAAAAAAAAAGAAACTTTAACAATATAGGCTAAACTAAATGATTTCTTAGGTTGTATTGTTTATGCCCATTATAAAACCCATATCAACTAATATTAAAGTAGCTCTCCTTCTCAAGCATATTTATGAATACCTATACAGTACTGTCATGCCTTGTAATTCTTCTCTCTTTTGAGATGGAGTTTTTGCTCTTGTTGCCCAGGCTGGAGTGCAATGGTGCAATCTTGGCTCACTGCAACCTCCACCTCCTGGATTCAAGCAATTCTCCTGCCTCAGCCTCCCAAGTAGCTGGGATTACAGTCATGAGCCACCACGCCTGGCTAATTTTGTATTTTTAGTAGAGGCCCAGTTTCACCATGTTGATCAGGCTGGTCTCGAACTCCTGCCCTCCGGTGATCCACCGGCCTCAGCCTCCCAAAGTGCTGGGATTACAGGTGTAAGCCATCACACCCAGCCCCTTGTAATTCTTAAGAGACTAAATAGATGATGCTACCAGTATAGGAATGGGGAATCACTAAATACATTCAAAATTAAACTTTCTACTACTTTTGAAATATGATGCCTAAGTTGAAAATGAGATCTGCAGTGTGATGTAGGATTCAGAAGACCTTGCTTGTAGTCCTAGTTCCACTAATGATTTGTAATGTGACTGTGGGCAAGTCATTTAAACCTCTATGACTGTTTCTTCATCTGAAAAGTGGGGATAACACCAGGCGCGGTAGCTAACTCCTGTAATCCCATCAGTTTGGGAGGCTGAGGCGGGTGGATCATGAGGTCAGGAGTTCAAGACCAGCCTGGCCAAGATGGTGAAACCCTGTCTCTACTAAAAAATACAAAAATTAGCTGGGCATGGTGACGGGTACCTGTAATCCCAGCTACTCAGGAGGCTGAGGCAGGAGAATCGCTTGAACCTAGGAGGTGGAGTTTCCAGTGAGCTAAGACCGCACCACTGCACTCCAGTCAGGGTGACAGAGTGAAATGCTGACTCGAAAAAAAAAAAAAAAAAGAAAGAAAATAGAAAAGTGGAGATAACAACGGTCTTCCTTGCTCAATTATTATCTTTCTCTGCCCACTTTCTGAATTTTAAAAGCTTTACTTCTCCATGAGGTAACAGGAGGTAAACCAACCAAACCTTACACGTCTGGGAAGAAGCTGGGGAAGGTACAATGAGAGTATGGGGTAAAGAAGAAGGTGGATTAGGGCTTATCATGGTAATGGCACACTAGTATAACATTGAATTCATAATTCTGGCTTACTTAAGGAACCCCAGGGACAAAAATACACTTCACCCTTTCTCGTGATTTTAGCAGAAATGGTAATGAGACAGCCTATGAGTGTTCCTCCTGAACTTGGAAAAAGTATCTGATGGCCTACTAACATTCTTAATACAGACACGTCTGACTGAAATTTTTTTTCTTTTTTTTTTTTTGAGATGGAGTCTCACTCTGTTGCCAGGCTGGAGTGCACTGGCATGATCTCGGCTCACTGCAACCTCCGCTGCCCAGGTTCAAGAGATTATCCTGCCTCAGTCTCCCAAGTAGCTGGGATTACAGGTGCACACCATCATGCCCAGCTAATTTTTGTATTTTTAGTAGAGACGGGGTTTCACCACGTTGGCCAGGCTGATCTTGAACTCCTGACCTCAGGTGATCTGCCCGCCTCCGCTTCCCAAAGTGTTGGGATTACAGGCGTGAGCCAGCGTGCCCGGCCTATGACTGAAATTTAAAAGTACTTCATTAAATTCTTTTTAATAAAATTTTTGTTTTATATATATATATGGTGTGTGTGTGTGTGTGTGTGTGTGTGTGTATACATATTTTTTTTTTAGGGACGGGGTTTTGCCATGTTGCCCAGTCTGGTCTCAAACTCCTGAGCTCAAGTGATCTGCCTGCCTTGGCCTCCCAAAGTGCTGGGATTACAGGCATGACCCACTGTCCACCATCTAAATTTTTAAATTATAGTAATCTCATCTCAAATAAATATATTATGATGACCTTGAAAGAACATGCCTATCTTTCCACCCCATAAATAATAACTATAATAAATTGGAAGTTAAATTAAAGGGATATTTAATTTAACAAGCATATTTACCAATTCTTCTAGTTAGTGATGGTGTTTTCTCAGTAGTTCTTACCTATAACAGAAATATGAATTGTAAAAGTTAGAATTATTTTTGGTAGAGGCAATCATTTCAATTTGAAAAGTTAATCATAAATTTAAAATAAATTGGCTTTATTTCAATTCAATATATGAATATTCACAAGAGACATAGCCTGATGGAGCTGAAGTTATAAGATTATCTAATCCAATCCTTCATTTTACAAACAAGAAGCTGAGGCCCAGGGAAAATGAATGACTTTAAGGTAGAGCCATTCGGGCAACTCTATTCTCCCATTTTAGTCTAGCGTTCTTTCTACCTATTACTAGTGTCTTGGCCACCCCAGTTTATGATATCAATTTTTTTATTTTTTTAATTTTTGAGACAGAGTTTCATTCTTGTTGCCCAGGCTGGAGTGCAGTGGCACGATCTTGGCTCACTGCAACCTCCACCTCCTGGGTTCAAGTGATTCTCCTGCCTCAGCCTGCCAAATAGCTGAGATTACAGGTGCCCACCACCACACCTGGCTAATTTTTTGTATTTTTAGTAGAGACTGGGTTTCATCACAATGGCCAGGCTCATCTCGAACTCCTGACCTCAGGTGATCCATCTGCCTTGGTCTCCCAAAGTGCAGGGATTACAGGTATGAACTACCACGCTCAGCCCATCCTATCAATTCAGATACATTTTTGAGATTTTAAATATTGTCTGCAAAAAGTTTAAAACTACTTACGAGTACAAAGCATATTATACAAATACCTAATTTCAGAAGGCGAAGGGACTTTTAGTATTCTAGTTCAAGCCCATTTTTGCCTACATTAATACGTAAATCAGTTTATCCTGATTCCCTTTTCACAAATTTACTTCAGGTAAAGAATAAGAAAACACTTTTTAGCCTCTCTCTCTCTCTCTCTCTCTTTTTTAAGAGATAGGTCTCGCTGTCTCACTCAGGCTGGAGTGCAGTGGAGTGAACATGGCTCACTGCATCCTCTGACCTTCTGGGGTCAAGCAATCCTCCCGCCTCAGCCTCCCAAGTAGCTGGACTACATACAGGCATGTACCGCATGTCTGGCTAATTGGTTTTTTAAATTTTTTGTAGAGACAGTGTCTCACTATGTTGCCTAGGCTGATCTCAAACTCCTGGGCTCAAGTGATCCTCTCTCCTTGGCCTCTCAAAATGTTGTAATTACAGGCGTGAAACACTGTGCCTGGCTAGCTCTCACCTTTAAAGCCCATCATACATTTATTATTATTTTGTTTTTAAATTAAAATTTTTGTTTTCATGTAATGTACACATAAATTGATTTATACTATATTGTGAATTTTACATGAAGAAATAACTATAAAACAAATGATATAATATTTGAAAATATAAATTATATAATGAGACTTACCAGACACTCCTCAAATGAATGGGTTAAATGAATATTGTTTACATATTCTTGTCCCTTTTGTTCCAACAGATATTTACACCTAAACAATTAAAAGGATAAACTTTAGTAGCTGATAAATTAGTGAAGTATAAGAAAAGATATAATCGCCATCATATTAATTCTATTAATGCCATTAACTTGTTTTTCAATGCTTCTAAGGAGCCACAAAGTAAAATGTTACCCAGTTCCCTATCTGACTGTCATTTTAAGGTTAAACAAATTCCCTTTGTTATGTTACCTCTGCTAATGTTAGTAGAGGAAAAAATATCAACTTGTGGTCTTTCTAGAACAACTTATTAAATTAGCACCTTGGCTTTTTTTTTGAGACAGAGTCTCGGTCTGTCACCCAGGCTGGAGTGCAATGGCGCGATCTTGACTCACTGCAACTTCCACCACCTGGGTTCAAGCGATTTTCCTGCCTCAGCCTCCCCAGTAGCTGAGATTATAGGCATGCACCACCATGCCTGGCTAATTTTTGTATTTTTAGTATTTTGTATTTTTAGAGACAGAATTTTACCATGTTGGTCAGGCTGGTCTCGAACTCCTCGCCTCAAGTGATCTGCCCACCTCAGCCTCCCAAAGTGCTAGGATTATAGGCATGAGCCACTGCACCCAGACAATCTTCTTAACAGGTTTTAGTTAGAGAATTAATCAATTGCCTATTAAAAAGGAATTCTTTAGGCTATTTAAGGCTAAGATTTCTTTTCAAATGATTGTTCCGAAATATTGCTTTTTTGTTTTTTTTTTTTTTTGAGATGGGGTCTCACTTTCTTGCCCAGGCTGGAGTGCAGTGGCACTGAGCGCAGTGGCGTCATCCCAGCTCAAGCAACCTCTGCCTCCAGCTCAAGCAATCCTCTCACCTCAGCTTCACAAGTAACTGGGGCTAAAGGTGTATGCCACCATGCCTGGCTACATTTTTTTGTATTTCTTGTAGAGACAGGGTCTCACTATGTTGCCCAGGTTAATCTCGAACTCTTGAGCTCCAGCAATCCACCCACCTCAGCCTCCCAAAGTGCTGGGATTACAGGAGTGAGTCACCACACCCTACCCAGAGATTTTAAAATGTGAACGGTTGTGTGTCATAGAGATAATGAGATACATTTATATTTCCTAGGGGTATGATGGCTTCTTAAGGAATCTCCTTGGCAACATGGGCTCTCATGCCAATCATAAAAGAGCCTACTTCCAACAACAAAAGAGTGCACATTGCCTAATTTGTATTTAGAAATGGAATAACCTAGAGGCCAAGTGTGGTGGCTCATGCCTGTAATCCCAGCACTTTGGGAGGCTAGGGCAGGAGGATCACCTGAGGTAAGGAGTTCAAGACCAGTCTGACCAACATGGTGAAACCCTGTCTCCACTAAAAATACAAAAATTAGCTGGGCATGGTGGCAGGTACCTGTAATCCCAGCTACTAGGGAGGCTGAGGCACAAGGGGCAGAGGTTGCAGTGAACCAAGATCGTGCCACTGCACTCCAGCCTGGGCGACGAGTAAAACTTCGTCTCAAAGATAAAAACTAAAAAAAGAAATGGGATAATCTGGCCAGGTGCAGTGGCTAACACCTGTAATCCCAGCACTTTGTGAGGCTGAGGCGGGCCAATTACCTGAGGTCAGGAGCTCGAGACCAGCCTGGCCAACATGGTGAAACCCTGTCTCTACTAAAAATACAAAAATTAGCCGGGTGTGGTGGTGGGTGCCTGTAATCCCAGCTACTTGGGAGGCTGAGGCAAGAGAATTGCTTAAACCCGGCAAGCAGAAGTTGCAGTGAACCTAGACTGTGCTGCTGCACTCCAGCCTGGGCAACAGAGTGAGACTGTCTCAAAAAATAAATAAAATAAAAAATAAATGGGATAATTTGAATGTCATAGATATGATACATAAGCAGTGGATGTTTTGGCATCAGAGAAGGCTTAGGTGGGTTTTCTCCCCATTTTTATAAATCTGGCATGAATTTCAAGCCATAGTGAAGGTAGAAATCGTTGAGGTAAAAAGTAATTCAAGTCTCCCACTGCATGCTATCCAACTTGCCTGTGAATGAATGAATAACTGAGTATCTTACCCTGGATACCATTTAGCATGTTGTTCCCAAGGGTCTTCACTGGGCTTCCAATCAGTTAGCCCTCCTCCACAGTGAAAGCACTTTACTTTATCACCGTCACCTAAGAAAACACACAAGAATTATGTATTTGTGCAATTAGAAGCTTACACAAAAATATTCAGTTAACACCTAAAAATTAAGCACATCGCCGGGCGCGGTGGCTCACGCCTGTAATCCTAGCACTTTGGGAGGCCGAGGTGGGTGGATCACCTGAGGTCAGGAATTCAAGACCAGCCTGGCCATCATGGAGAAACCCCATCTTTGAAAAAAGAAAAAAATAAATAAATTAAGCACATCTAAAAAACATGAAAATCTCACAGCTTAAAACAAGACACTCAAATTCACATCTAAGTAACACATATGATCTTTATCATTTGAGGAAGAAATACTAAATCCACTGATTCAATCTGAGGTATTTTTACAGAACAAAAATAAAACTACCCAAGTTTTACGTTAAAAATTAAGATTGCGACTGGTTGTGGTGGCTCACGTCTTTAATCCAAGCATTTTGGAGGCCAAGGCGGGTGGATCACCTGAGGTCGGGAGTTCAAGACCAGCCTGACCAACATGGTGAAACCCCGTCTTTAAAAAAAAAAAAAAAAAAAAAAAGATTGTTACTTTTTTTTTTTTTTTTTTTGAGACTGAGTCTTGCTCTGCTGCCCAGACTGGAGTATAATGGCACAGTCTCGGCTCACTACAACCTCCAACTCCTGAGTTCAAGTGATTCTCCTACCTCAGCCTCCCAAGTAGCTGGGATTTAAGCATGCACAACCACACCTGGCTGATTTTTATTTATTTATTTTTTTTTGAGACGGAGTTTCGCTCTTGTTACCTAGGCTGTCAGGCTGGAGTGCAATGGCGCGATCTCAGCTCACCGCAACCTCCGCCTCCCAGGTTCAGGCAATTCTCCTGCCCCAGCCTCCTGAGTCGCTGGGATTACAGGCACACACCACCATGCCCAGTTAATGTTTTGTATTTTTAGTAGAGACTGGGTTTCACCATGTTGACCAGGATGGTCTCGATCTCTTGACCTCGTGATCCACCCGCCTCGGCCTCCCACAGTGCTGGGATTACAGGCTTGAGCCACCGTGCCCGGCCGATTTTTTATATTTTTGGTAGAAACGGGGTTTTACCATGCTGGCCAGTCTGATCTCGAATTCCTGACCTCAAATAATCTGCCTACCTTGGCCTCTCAAAGCGCTGGGATTACAGGAGTGAGCCACCGCACCCAGCATACTTTTTAGTATGTTATTTGGGCCACCAATATTTTACTTACTGTTTCAAACTGTGAAACTTTAAAACAAGTTATTTTCCAAGTATTTAGTAACATTAAAGTTCTACATAATGGAATTATGAGATAAGTTTCTCTAAGTTTATAGCTACGTGACACTAAACAAACCTTCAAGATTACTATATAATGGTACATAAATAAAATCTTTTGAAATAACCAATATTTTATAGGCATTATTCAATCTTAAAATAAATGGGTCAAATATATAATGGTACAATTTTTAAAAATATCTTTAGAAGCAATCACACCAATGGCCCTTCCAGGCATGTCTACTACAGTCCATCTGAAAAGCACTCATTGGAAGCACGAAGCATAATACAAGGCAGCTTGCATTGTGTACTAAAGGCAGGCGTCACTTTTAATACAGCATGAGTGAAACTAAACTCTCTAATGTTAGCTCTTTTAATAAAGTTACTGTGGGCCAGGCACGGTGGCTCACACCTGTAATCCCAGCACTTTGGGAGGCCAAGGTGGGCAGATCACAAAGTCAAGAGATCAAGACCATCCTGGCCAACATGGTGAAACCCTGTCTCTACTAAAAATACAAAACAGCTGGGCGTGGTGGCGCGCACCCGTAGTTCCAGTTACTTGGGAGACTGAGGCAGGAGAATTGCTTGAACCCAGGAGGGGGAGGTGGCAGTGAGCCGAGATTGCGCCACTGTACTCCAGCCTGGTGACAGAGTGAGACTCCATCTCAAAAAAATAAATAAATAAATAAAGTTATTGTGAAGATAAGCATGGTAGCTCACACCTGAAATTCCAACACTTTGGGAGGCTGAGGTGGGCAGATCACTTGAAGTCGGGAGTTTGAGACCAGCCTGGCCAACATGGCAAAACACTGTCCCTATTAAAAAACACAAAAATTATCCATGCGTGGTATTGGTACAGGTACGTGCCTGTAATTCTAGCTACTCAGGAGGCTGAGGCACAATAATAGCTTGAACCCAGGAGGCAGAGGTTGCAGTGAGCCAAGATCAGGCCACTGCACTCCAGTTTAGGTAATGGAGTGAGACTCTGTCTCAAAAAAAAAAAAAAAAAAAAGTGCCAGGTGCAGGGGCTCACGCCTGTAATCCCAGCATTTTGGGAGGCTGAGGCCGGTGTATCACCTGAGGTAGGGAGTTTGAGACCAGCCTGACCAACAAGGAGAAACCCCGTCTCTACTAAAAATACAAAATTAGCCAGGCGTGTTGGCGCAAGCCTGTAATCCCAGCTACTCGAGAGGCTGAGGCAGGAGGATTGCTTGAACCTGGGAGGCAGAGGTTGCGGTAAGCTGAAACTGTGCTATTGCATTCTAGTCTGGGCAACAAGAGTGAAACTTCATCTCAAAAAAAAAAAAGTTATTAAAGTTATTGTGGGCCAGGTGGTCCAGCCTGGGCAACGAGAGCGAAACTCTGTCTCAAAAAAATAAAAAAAAGTTATTAAAGTTATTGTGGGCTGGGTGTGGTAGCTCATGCCTGTAATCCCAGCACCTTGGAAGGCTGTGATGGGTAGATAATGAAGTCAGGAGATTGAGACCATCCTGGTCATGGTGAAACCCCGAAGAAGAGAAGGGAGGGGAGGAGGGGGGAGGGGAGAGGAAGAGGAAGGGAGAGGAGGGGAGAGGAGGGGAGGAAAGAAAGGAAGGAAGGGAGGGAGGGAAAAGGAAAGAAAGGAAAGGAGAGAAAGAAAAAGAAAGAAGAAAGAAAAAAATAAAGTTATTGTGAAGCTTAGAGAAAATGCATGAAGTATACATACTGTGCACATATAATAGGTGCTCAATAAATCAAAGTATTTTATTAGACCCATTTTGTTATTGGGGATGTCTACCATCTTTTGCATGTTATTACTTCCTAAAAACAATTACATGAAAAGAAACATGACTCATAATATGGTAGTCTTTTTCACATAAATTCAGTAGTTACATTACAGGTTCAACATAAGAGTTCACAGAATAAGATGAATATAGGTATAATCGTGCCAAATTATACCTAAATATTTACCAGTTCGGGGGGCTAAAGGCATCTGTTTACTTTTTAGGAGCCCTGGCATAGTTGGAAAGTTATTTATTGGTTTTATAATAAAGTTTACCTAAAGCATAAAATCCAGCTCTTGCAAGCTGCTCCTTGTTAACTGAGTATATCCACGTCCCAAAAGTAATGATCCGTGCTTCATAATCTGCCATGGATGGATTTCTTGGAAGATTTGTTGAATTTGGGTAATTCCTATCAGAACTCACAGGATCAGATTCACTTCGGATATTAAGATTGCGGCCCAAAACAAAGAAGCAATTAGGAAAATGTCGCTTGTGTTCTGACCAGGCACGATCACAAGGTTCCCAATTTTTCAGTTTTCCACCACAACAAAAGCACTGCACTTGGTCATCAACACCTGTGTAGTAGAGTCCAGCACTCGCTAACTCTCTTGGGGTTAGGTGGGCATAGTCTGGCCAGTTCTGAAAGGACTTCAATCTAGCTTCTTCCCTATACATGGCAGGGTTCCTCGGGTATATGGTGTCTGATATATCTACAACCTGCCCAGTTCTCAAAAGATAGTCTGCATGTGTCTCAGATGGCCTGTCTAAAGCAAAATGATTTCTGCTTCCCAGATAGTTTTCAACTTTGTACTGACCATTCTGGATACCAGAATTTGTAGGTTGCGTGGCACTATTTTCAAAATAAAAGCCGTTGATAAATCTGCAATTTGGGGATACTTTCCTGTGTCTTCCAATTGCTGAGTCTCCATATTGCCATCTATCTACAGCTGCATGACAACTAAAGCACCGCACGGTATCTCCTTCACCAGTATAAAGAAACCCTGCTCTTGCCAGTGTTGATGCTGAAACAGGACTACTACTTGGAAAATTAGCAAAAGTTTTTAATCTATTAAACTCTTCTACAAATTCTTCATCCTTATTGATGTCTGCAGGTACACAAGTTTTAGATCCTTCAAAACTGTTAAAAGTCATCTTCTCTTGAAAATAGGACTTGTCCACCTTTTCTAAAAAGAGAACATTATATTAGGAAATCCACAATGTGAAACATAAGCAATAGACTTTTGTTACTAGGAGCTAACAAATTATCCACTTAGGACATAAAAATAATGACACGACCTCTAAGAAACATTCTAATTTTAAATACTAGAGTTCAACATTACCACATAATTCAAGTCATAAAGTAAAATCTAGCATTTTTGTTTTCTCTTTTTGAGGAAAGTAAAATTTAAGCAGGTAGAATAAAACTAATAATCTTTAAATGCTTACTTTACATAAATATGGAACTGTGATGCAGAATATATTATAATTATTAACCATGTCAAATCATTAATTAGGAAAAACATAAAGAAGCATAAAATATGCAGATTATCAAAGTCTATGCATAATTGTTATAATGAATCATTGTATATTCAAAGCATCAAAATTCGGTTTTTACAAATTAAAAAATGTTCAGAATGTTAATGAATTAATTTTTAATATTTCTTTGCTTAGCAAAATATGTTTTTATTTATTTATTTATTTACTTTTTTATTTATTAAGATCCTCATTGTAGAAACTGAGTAAACTTCCTGGATGACTCATGCAAGTATCCATGGTGAGGGTCTCTTCTGATTAGAGAAGATGGAATTGAAGCAAAATATGTTTTAATCATAATATTGGTTCCAATGTATTCTTTAAGAGTATCAAATATTTCTGATTTTCATGCATGAACAAGAGCTCATTTTTTGTTAGAACTGGATAATTCCAGATATATATATAATATTGCCCTCTACAGGGTGGCTCAGGAAAAATTCTAAGTACTTGGAAACCTTAATTGCTATTATCTTTTTTTTTTTTTTTTTTTTTTTTTTTTTTTTGCCCATGACACAGCCCTCGGGAGGTCCTGGGAACATGTGCCCTGCGGTTACTTTTACTATTAACTTCCCTTGGTCAAGGAACAATCTGTTCAAATGGAAGATAAGTATTGTTGCAGTCTTATTAGAGCTGCCAATTTACAGCTGTGTAATGTTTAACCCAGATAAAATACTAAAGGAAACCCATTAGGTTATGCGAAGGGTGGCAAGATAATTTATGTTCCAAACCTGGACACTTCTCAAAGCGAAAAATTATACTAGTAATAATCACACTGGGACAACAGGCATAAATCAGGGTTGCCCCAGGCAAACTAGAGGATATGGCAACCCTAGCTATGAGGCAAACCTGGTTCTCCAGAATCTCCCGAATTGCCTGATAACATGGTCAATATAAACTTGTCAAACGCAAAATGACAGAATGGACACAATGACTCTATCTCTATATTGTATGTGCATTAATTGATTTGTTGAGAAGAATTAGCCAGCTCTTTTGCCTTTATGTTGACACAATATGTCTTAGAATTTAATCTCTCTTGGAGTAATGTTCAACACAAAGCAAGCTGGCAGTGGACATCAGTCTTTCCTGGCCATGTGAATTTATCATGGTATTAACTCATATACCTCAAGAGCTGAGTTATATCTGCACACAACTTTTGGAATATGGTCTCCATGACTTTCTTTTTTTTTTTTTTTTTTTCTTTTTGAGACAGGGTCTCGCTTTGTTGCCCAGGCTGGAGTACAGTGGTGAGATCTTGGCTTACTGCAACCTCCGCCTCCCAGGTTCAAGCGATTCTCCTGCCTCAGTCTCCCGAGTAGCTGGGATCACAGATAACCGCCACCACACCTGGCTAATTGTTTGTATTTTTAGTAGACACAGGGTTTCATCATGTTGGCCGGGCTGTGAGTCAGTAAAATCACTTGAACCCAGGAGGTGGAGGTGGCAGTGAGCCAAGATCGTGCCACTGCACCCCAGCCTGGGTGACAGAGCAAGCATCTCAAAAATGGAAAAAAAAAAAAAATTTGACGGGGCCTGGTGGTGCATGCCTGTAATCCCAGCTACTCAGGAGGCTGAGGCAGGAGAATCGCTTGGACACGGGACACGGAGGTTGCAGTGGGCAGAGATCACACCATTACACTCCAGCCTGGGCAACAAGAGCGAAACTCCATCTCAAAAAAAAAAAAAAAAAAAAATCTGTTACATAACTAAAAGAAGATGGAGACTTGGTTTAAAAAGAAGTCACATAAAGGCAATCCTCCAGATTAAAACCTTGGGATTTTAATTAATTATAAATTCAACATGAGCCAACACTACAAGTCTACTAAAAAACAGCAACTTCAAGCTGCATTAGTGTCCAGATGTACAACATCCAGATCCAATTCAGCTACCAAGGGATACTATTTCCAGTTCCAAATACATTTTGGAAGGGATATTAACAAAGTTTAATGTCCTTAGGGAGCTATCAGGATGATGAAAATGTTATCATACGAGAAATAGTTGGAATGGCAAAGGATATTTATCCCAAAGGTTGTAAAAATTGTGAGGGGAAGGGTAGAGAGGACAGAATTACTACCTTAAGATATCTAAAAGGTTACCACGTAGAAAAGAGATTCAAATTTTGTATAGCTTGAGGGCAGAATTAAGATCAATAAATACAATTATAAACAGTAGATTTTAACCCAAAGATCAGATTTATAACAATTGATAGTAGCACAAAATGAATTGGGTTGCCTTGTAAATTATGAGTTCAGCATGGACTAGGAGACTGGATTAAACATTTCCAAGTCTGTAATTATCCTGAAGCATTAATGTTCAATATAATACAAAACACATGAGAATTATCTTCTCTGAGGTGTTAAATTTTATTTCAAGTCAATCAAAATAGATATAAGTGGCCAGGCAAAGTGGCTCACATCTGTAATCCCAAAACTTTGGGAGTCTGAGGTGGCCGGATCACTTGGAGTAAGGAGTTCAAGACCAGCCTGGCCAACATGATGAAACCCCATTTCTACCAAAAAATACAAAAATTAGCCAGACGTGGTGGCACACAGGAGGCTATTCGGAAGGCTGAGGGAGGGGAATCACCTGAATCTGGGAAGCGGAGGTTGCAATGATCTGAGATCGCGCCACTGCACTCCAGCCTGGGTGACAGAATGAGACTCTTCATCTCAAAAAAAAAAAAAAAAAGAAAGAAAGAAAAAGGTATAGGCCAGGCCAGGCACAGTGGCTCACACCTGTATCCCAACACTTTGGGAGGCCGAGGCGGGTGGATCATGAGGTCAAGAGATCGAGACCATCCTGGCCAACATGGTGAAAGCCCGTCTCTACTAAAAATACAAAAATTAGCTGGGCGTAGTGGCACACCTGTAGTCCCAGCTACTGGGGAGGCTGAGGCAGGAGAATTGCTTGAACCCAGGAGGCAGAGGTTGCAGTGAGCCCAGATCGCACCACTGCACTCCAGCCTGGCACCTGGCGACAGAGCAAGACTCTCAAAAAGAAAAAAAACAAGGTATAAAATCAAATATATTCTCATTTCATAATGGTAGATGTTTTGTGTAGTTCAACTAGCTACCCTATTTCAGAAATATTAGGTAAAACTATCATTCAACATGAGCAGCAGAATCTTAATTTGAAGCTTTTGAGTGGAGATCTTATCTTCCCAGAGGTTATTTCCATGCTAATAGTTCAGATTTCACTGTTTTGAAAAGTAAGTATTTATTTAGAAGCACTCAAGTGAACAACATATACACATTAGCAGAGTGTGAGTTTTTTGAGAAGGGTGGAAAAACAGAATTACCATAGAGTTTAAGAGTGAGGCAGTGGCGGCGGAGAAAAAAAATTAAAAATAAAAAATAATAAAAATAAATTTTAAAAAAAGAGTGAAGGCCGGGCGCGGTGGCTCAAGCCTGTAATCCCAGCACTTTGGGAGGCCGAGGCGGGTGGATCACGAGGTCAAGAGATCAAGACCATCCTGGTCAACATGGTGAAACCCCGTCTCTACTAAAAATACAAAAAATTAGCTGGGCATGGTGGCGCGTGCCTGTAATCCCAGCTCCTCAGGAGGCTGAGGCAGGAGAATTGCCTGAACCCAGGAGGCGGAGGTTGCGGTGAGCCGAGATCGTGCCATTGCACTCCAGCCTGGGTAACAAGAGCGAAACGCCGTCTCGAAAAAAAAAAAAAAAAAAAAAAAAAAAAAGAGTGAAAGGTGGGGCCAGGTGTGGTGGTTCACACCTATAATCCCAGCACTTTGGGAGGCCCAGGTGGGTGGATCACCTGAGGTCAGGAGTTCAAGACCAGTCTGGCCAATGTAGTGAAACCATGTCTTTTAGAAAAAAAAAAAAAAGAAAAAGAAAAAAAGAGTGAAAGGTGGAAGAATGACTGATGAAAGACAGAAACCTTGGGTTTGAAGGATGGCACCAAACAAAAAGGGCAAGATAGGGTAAAAAAAATATATAGAATCTAAGTGAAATGGAGGTTGGGAAAATGACACCACAGAAAACAAGTATATATGGAGCAGAGGAATTGTGAATATAGAAGAAAATAGTGTACGAATATCGGACAAGGGTGACAAAAAGGCTTTTGATGTGAAAAGGTGTGGGTGCGATAAAAAATGCTGGGATAATTTAAGGCTCTCTGTGAAAGCATCTTCAGGCTTTGTACTGGGTAAGTGCAGGAAGGCACAGAAAGAGAACAATGTCAAAGAAAGCGATTGGCATAAAGGGGCTGGGCAGTCAGGAATCTTAAGGGAAACAGTGGTTGGGAAAATAGCACTATGGAAGCCAAAAATGGGACAAAAAGGTCCAGTAAGCAATGGTACATGTCTAAATGAAGGGTTTGGAAGATTCTACAATGGTGATATGTGAGAGTTTACAGTATACATGTACATATACACATTTAGTCCAGTCCGCGGTATAAAGAGAGCCACCAAGAGGTACCAAGGAGAGGGGGTCGACTGCTAACCCAGCGAGAATGTGGGAATACGGGACTGGGGGATGCAGAGACAAAGGCACACACAAAACCCTGGTGTCTGTATATGATACGAAAGTTTCTATTTCTCCCTGCTTTTTTTTTTTTTTTTTTTTTTTTCTGAGACAAAATTTCACTTTTGGTCACCCAGGCTGGAGTGCAATGGCATGATATCTGCTCACCGCAA